ACGGGCATCTTCAGAAAGTGGTTGGACTAGAGTCATTGTCGAAAAGCCATTTGGCCGTGACTCAGATTCTTCGGGTGAGCTAACGAGAAGCTTAAAGAAATATCTCACAGAAGACCAAATATTTAGGTGAAACCTCTTACACGAATCGAATGCCAGATCTAAAGAAAGAAACTGACTCTTATGATAATTTTTATAGGATCGATCATTATTTGGGCAAGGAGCTCGTAGAGAATCTGTCGGTTCTTCGATTCTCCAATCTTGTTTTTGAGCCTCTTTGGTCGAGGAGCTATATCCGCAATGTTCAACTGATATTTTCGGAGGACTTTGGAACCGAGGGGCGTGGCGGGTGAGTGTCACATCCTTCTGATATTGCAGTTCGAGAAAGGATATTAGGGTCGACAAGGTTAGTCAACTGTGCTTTGTTCTTTTTCCAGGTACTTTGATAACTATGGAATCATACGAGATATAATGCAAAACCATCTCCTTCAAATTTTGGCTCTATTTGCTATGGAGACGCCTGTTAGTTTAGATGCGGAGGACATCAGGAATGAAAAGGTACCCAATTAGTTCTCTTATGCTTTTGATGCCCTGTAACATGTAGAAGAGCATAGTTTTGATATTGGTTTAATTGCTCCTTTTAGTTCGTGTCGATATGATTTTGGATGGTAAAAATGTTTAATAGGTCTCTGAATTTTCGTAAGTCCGTTAATTTCAAACTTTGTGGTTATATTGAACACAAACTTAAAGACCCTACTCTGACTAGTGCCTCACACCGTCCGGTGGCTGGCTCTGATACCATTTGTAACAGCCCAAGCCAACTGTTAGTAGATATTGTGCGCTTTGGCATGTTACGTATCTCTGTCAGCCTCACGGTTTTTGAAACGTGTCTACTAGGAAGAGGTTTCCAAACCCTTGTAAGGAATATTTCGTTCTCCTCTCCAACCAATATGGGATCTCACAATCCACCTCTTTAGGGTTCAACATGTCCCCGCTGGCACACTGTTCGGTGTCTAGCTCTGATACCATTTGTAACAGCCCAAGCCAACTGTTGGTAGATATTGTATGCTAGCCCGTTATGTATCGTCGTCAACCTCACGGTTTTTAAAACGTGTCTACTAGGAAAAGGTTTCCAAACCCTTGTAAGGAATATTTTGTTCTCCATTCCAACCAATATGGGATCTCACAATCCACCTCCTTGGGGCCCACAGTGCTCGGTGTCTAGCTCTAATACCATTGTAACAGCTCAAACCCACCCGTACTAGATATTGCCCGCTTTGGCCTATTACGTATCGTCGTCAACCTCACGGTTTTTAAAACACGTCTACTAAAAAGAGGTTTTCACACCCTTGTAAGGAATGTTTCGTTCTCTCTAATCAATGTGGGATCTCACAATCCACCCCTGTTGGGTGCCCAACGTCCTTGCTAGCACACCGTTCATTGTCTAGCTCTGATACCATTTATAATAGCTCAAACCCATCGCTAGCAAATATTATTTGCTTTGGCCTGTTACATATCACTGTCAACCTCGTAAATATTTAGTAGAAAGATTCCTTAGCGCTTGACGGTATGGTCACTTGTAATGACGATTAGCTAATATCATTGTGATTCAGGTTAAGGTCCTGAAGTCCATGAGACCCCTGCAACTCGAAGATGTAGTTGTTGGGCAATACAAAGGGCACAGCAAGGGTGGGAAATCGTACCCTGCTTATACAGATGACCCAACTGTTCCCAACGATAGCATCACTCCGACGTTTGCAGCAGCCGCTATTTTCGTCGATAACGCGAGATGGGACGGGGTGCCATTCTTGATGAAAGCTGGAAAGGCTCTACATACAAGGAGGTTGTTATTTCATTGATTGTTTTAGTAGCATTTTGAGCACATTATGGTAATTTAAATTTGAATAACCTCACACGTTTGTTATGATATCTCCAGAGCAGAGATCAGGGTTCAGTTCAGACATGTCCCAGGTAACTTGTACAAGAGGAGCTTTGGAACAGATTTGGACAAAGCTACTAACGAGCTCGTCTTGCGTGTTCAACCCGACGAGGCTATTTATTTGAAGATCAACAATAAAGTTCCTGGTCTCGGGATGCGATTAGATCGTAGTGATCTCAACTTGCTGTATCGATCTAGGTACGGTAGAGGATGGGGTTGCTTTATGTTTTAGGTTTCCGATTTCGTTGACAATTGAATGATCATGTGAAGGTACCCGAGCGAGATACCAGATGCATATGAGAGGTTGCTTTTAGACGCTGTTGAAGGGGAGCGAAGGTTGTTCATCAGAAGCGATGAGCTCGATGCTGCGTGGTCGTTGTTCACTCCATTGTTGAAGGAACTCGAAGAGAAAAAGATCGCACCAGAGCTTTATCCCTACGGCAGCAGGGGGCCGGTCGGGGCTCACTACTTAGCTGCGAAGTACAACGTAAGATGGGGAGATCTGGGTGAGGACCGTGAGCCTTAGGTACGTAGGGCATCTCGATGTACAATTGGTATGGCCATGGGTTAGTAGTTCATATTTCTCAGCAAAATGATAGATTATGTGTACAATTGTGCTTAGCTCACAGTGGATTAAGGCTTCAATTCAATTAAGGGAATGAATTTGCAGTAATAAAATGCCTATGCCTATGTTGACTTCTACTACCAAAGTTGTATTTTACTTGGAAAGAGTGATCGTTTTAGTCCCGTTTTTGTTTTCACCTTTTTCTCGATTGCAATTTTAGCACAACACGAGCGCTTGTACCTTTGATCTTGGGTGTTAATATGTGAGAACGAGGGATTCAAACGTTTGACCTCTTAGTTTGAGATGAAAGAATGTGTCTTAGGGTCTCGTTTGATAAATATTCCATTTTTTAAAATTGTGTTTGTTTTCAAGTATTTTTTTAAAATTGTGTTTGTTTTCTAGTATTTTTTTTTTTTTAAATTGAGTTAAGTGGGGGTTGGCCCACTATGAAAGGGAGGTCCCTCTTATCATCTAACTTGAACGATTCGAAGTCAGTCAAAGAATACATTTTCTCTCTTATCATCTTGAACGATTCGAAGTCAGTCAAAGAATACATCAAAGCTAGCATTTTCGCTGATTCGACTTGAGTGTAACACTCCAACCTTTTTCTACTAGTTTCAACTTTTCAGAAGTGTTTAAGATTAGTATGATTACTTTTATTTTAAATTTTTTTAGAGTTAGTTTAAATTATTTTATGCAAAATTATCCTTTTTCTACTAGTTTCAACTTTTCAGAAGTCTTTTAAGATTAGTATGATTACTTTTACTTTAAATTTTTTGGAGTCTAGTTTAAATTATTTTATGCAAAATTATGTTAAATTAGTTTAAATTATTAGGTTTATAATGGTGGAACTCCTTGGGAAAGAATTAAATTTCAGAGAATAGCGTTAAGCTAGTATTAAAGGGTCGTAGTAGTTTCAGCCTAGAGCCCTAGATCAACCAAGTGGTTGTCCTATCAGTATAATTAGAAGTTTTTGTTCTATATTATGACATGTGCATTGTGGTTATGCACGTGTCATATGTTTGATATGTGTAAGCAATATGTCTATGATATGATATGTTGATGATATGATACATGTTATGATATTGATGATATGATATGGTATGTTGAAGGACATGTTATGTGCATGATATGACTATATGATGGTAAATATGTTTTGATATGATATACAACCCTGATATATGTTTTAAAAGTTATGTTATAAAAAAATGATATGATAGGAAGGGAAATGGAAGAGATTGTTTTTATATGATTTCATAAATTGGAAAATGTTGGGATCTCATGTATCATTGTATATTTACATACATCGGGAATTATCCTCTTTACGATAAGTACGGATGCGTACGTTATGAGAAGAAAAATGATCATTGTGTTTATCATAATCTTACGACGGTTACTACTCCTTCCGAGTGTTCGGCAATAACACCAGAGAATGCTAGCCCAACCAGGAAAGGAGTCCAGGAGGTGCGCGAACCGACTGGTGAGTTCATAATCGCACGTATAGGTCGTGTGTAAAATAGGAAATACACATCAAATAACCCACTAGGATAGTCACTTAAGGAATACAGTTTTAAATTATATGTCTCATTCATAATTGCATGTGTTTGTATCTAACCCCAAGAGTAAGTGACTTACTAGATATTTTGTAAAATACTGAAATCACATGCTACTTTTATTTTCTAGGTAAATGCAAGACACTCTTGCATGGTTAACGACCGCATCACAACTTTAAAGACCATGATACATGCATAGGGTAATTATATTTAATTTCATAGACGGCAGGTTAGTATAGAATATTTCTGTTTTAATTTTTTTTTTTTTTTTTTTGTCTATTTTAATTTTTCCTATTTTGTTTTCATCCGAATTAAAAATAATTAAATAAACAATGGGGTAATATTTTAGGACATATTTATATAAAAAGAATTTGTATATATTTGTATAGATTTTTGGTAATTAGCCAAAAATATTTTTCATGAATAATCAAATATTTATTATTGGACAAATTTACTACAAATAGTTTATTCCTTCTCAAAATAACATTTCCTAATTTCATAATAAAAGTAACATTTTAATACAATTTTTTTTTTAATTCGAATACATACTTTTATATCATTCATAATGACATTTAATACAAATTTAATACATAATTTTATGTTTGATATATTATAATTTAATCATATCTTTTAATTTTAATAAAAACATTTATACCTTTAAATTAAAAAAATATATAAATAAATAAATAAATTTACAAATACGAAAATATTTAATAATTTATTTATTTTTGTTTAAATCCTCCGTTTCTCTCTCTTTATCATTAAAAACCACTTCTCTCTCTCTTTAATTAAACCGACTCTCTTCTCTTTTCTTCGGTTCAGAATTCACTAAAACCAAAGAAAAAAACCAAACCGTAGGGGACAGAAAAAACCCTGAACCGCTATCTCTCCATCTCCCTCCCCCGATTTCTCTCTCTAACTCTAATCTCCGCCGTCTCTTTCTCTCTTCCGCCTTCCAGCTATGGTCGTTAACGCCCGTCCCCACAAGAGAATGAAGAGACGTGTCACGGCTGATCTCTTCGACTTCCTCTCCTTCCCTTCTTCTTCCTCCATGTCCGCCGCCGTCGCCGCCCATGATTCCGACCACGACCATCTCTTCACCGGCCCCTTCCGGAACAACGTCCGCACCTTCCTCTCCAAGCACGCCCTCCTCCCCCCGCCCTCTTCCTTGTTCCCTCACCTTCTCACCTGGCAGATCCTCTTCCGCGTCGGCGACCTCGGCCTCCACGGCCTCGACTCTCAACCTGCCCTTGTTTATCTCGATATCGTCGAGGAAGACGTCGCCAGATCCAGATCCCTCTACTGCGACCAGTGCCGTGTTGTTGGTGAGTCTCCTCCTTACACCGATTCGCCGATCTCTCTCTCTCTCTCTGAAAATCTCGCGATGTGATGTTTGAGAATTTGACTGATGGCGATATCTACGAGATTTTTTCTTTCTGTGGGGCCCTTGTTGAGACGGCCGTTGGATGTGTTACACGTGGCGGAATAAAAGATAATTGGATATTATTTTTGTTCTTTTGGGGCTTCGCTTTTGGACCATTTTCTTAATTTCTTTTGGAAATCTGACAAAATTATTTGTTCTTTTTTGTTTGAAACACTTCGAATATCGATTTATTTTATACGTTTTGATGTTTTGATTTGTAAGTTTAGGATTATGATGATGTTCTTATGGGTTATCTGTAGAAGAAGGCAGAAGAGGGTGTTTTTGTTTGATGATTGATATGAATTGTTTGGAATTGTATGGCATTGATTAGGGTGGAGTGCACATCCTGTGTGCGCCAAACGGTACCATTTCATAATAAAGGCTAATGGAAGCTCCATTGGAGGTTATCATAAGCCATGTATGTGCTGTGGAGACGTCTTGCATCTCTCCGAGTCCAAGTGAGCTCATTTACCACACCCCTTTTCCCTTCTGGACTCAACAATCCAGATTTTCCTTTAATTTGTACCTTTGTTCTTCCTTTTAGCTCAATGGGTTTGTGTGATTGCTTTTGGGATTAGATATGATTTTTGCAGTTGTTTTTCTCACGATTTTGAAGAGTTTCTTATTATATTTGGATGTGTAGATGCAAGTCGTGCAACCATGTAACGAGTGCAGATGATGTAGAAGATTGGGTGTACCAGCAGTTGGAGAACAATACCCATCTCTTACATGCTGTGGTTCACTCCAATGGTTATGGCCACCTACTCAGGGTCAATGGAAGAGAGGGTGGCTCAAGCCACTTATCTGGATGCCATATCATGAATTTTTGGGATCGATTTTGTAAAATGCTTGGAGTAAGGTAAGGCAACCCCCTACAGTGAATCCTTTTGAAAATGTGTTTATTATAGCTTGTTTCAGTTCACATCACATTGTCAATTGAAGTATATACATCTAGCCTCTTGCATTTATTAACATGAAATCCCACGTCGGTTTGGGAGGAGAACGAAGCATTCTTTGTAAAGGTGTGGAAGCTTCGTCCCTAGCAGACACGTTTTGAAAACCTTGAGAGAAAGCCTGAAAGGGAAAGTCCAAAGAGGACAATATCTGCTAGCGGTGAGCTTGGGTTGTCACAATTAATCTGCAAATATTTTTGTTTGCTACCTTATGAACTATTATTGGAAAACACATGGTGAAGTAAGCTTGGTTTGATTTATTATGTTGAAATGGAAACTTGTGTTAATATAACGAACTATGCATGATGGATAAAGCAAACTGCTCGAGTGAAACCTACAAGTTTGTAATTTTATGCTCTGGGAGGGCATTTCAACACTCTTTCCATCGTAATCAAAGGAAAGAAAAGCTTTCCTTATTTAATATAATTTTCCTTTAGGTACTCACACACAATGCATGATCATAAAGTGGAACATCTGTTTTATTTTAATTATGTTTTATTCCAAGTGCATGGTTACGAATGAAATTGGGAAGATGCATGTAACAACCCAAGTCCATTGCTAGCAGATATTGCTCTCTTTGAGCTTTCCCTTCCAATCTTCCCCTCAAGGTTTTAAAACGCGTCTACTAGGGAGACGTTTCCACACCCTTACAAAAAATGTTTCGTTCCCCTATCCAATGGATGTTGAATCTCACAATGCTATTCTATTGACGTTGGTGTGTGCCTATATTTGAGTATTTTATCTAAGGTCAATAATAAGTGTTGTACCCTGTATTTTTCGGTGGTATCTGTACTCCATTGTCTCTTAAAAAAATTCAACCCCAGTGCCCTATTCTCTTCATTATGTGTTGGATCCTTGGGGAGGATTCCAGATCTAATATTCTCTAAGTTCTTTTTGGGGCTAGCTCTTCCCACAAAAGCTTAGTTGTTATGCCTTCCAAAGCTACTCTCAGATTTTTTGTTGGACAGGAATCTATGAGTTTTTGAAACAAGTCTCTTGATTGGATGGATCGGAATGAATTTATCAAAATTAAAGCTTCTCTGTGGTGTTTATTGTCAACATTTTGCTGCTTATCCTCTTAATGACATTTGTAACAATCTGGGGCCTTTTATATATGAGTTGTGATTTTCAGTCTTTCCCTTATCTTTGCATTTATTTATATTAATCCTGTTTTTTCTTCTTTTCATAGTCTACACATTGTTGTCAATGGTTGGTTGTGTTCTGTTTCTCTTTATGAAACATTGAGCGAATGCTCTCTGTCTGTGCTGTAAATGGTGAAAGTAATGGGTTTATTGAATTTTTGTATTCTGTCTTTGAGTAGAAAGGTGAGCGTGATGGATGTGTCCAAGAAGTATGGGGTTGGGTACCGGCTGCTTCACGCCGTCACCAAAGGTCATCCGTGGTATGGCGATTGGGGTTATGAATTTGGTGCTGGTAGTTTTGCTGTGACTCCTGATGCCTACAAAATGGCTGTTGAAACCCTCTCCACCCTCCCTTTGTCAATCTTTACATCTCAAGGACGTAAGCCCCGTTCTCATCTGCAGGACATAATTTTGTATTATCAGTCTTTGTCAGAGCGCAAACTTGTAAACGTAAGAGATCTCTTTAGGTTTCTGATGAGCTTGATTCATAATGTTCGCAAGTCATCAACATCCATTAATGATGTAACGGATGAGAAGCAGCCATCAAGGGTCTTGTGCTCGTGGACAAGAAGCGACATTACACGTGTCGAAGAAGCAATGCTGAAAGTGCTGCATGCTGTATCTGGGTCGAATTGGGTCACTTGGCGCACCCTTCGTGGTGCTGTGTGCAAAGCAGGCCCACCTGAACTGCTTGATTATTGCCTTAAGAATCTTGGAGGAAAAATATCATCTGATGGGATTGTTGTCAATGCTCAACGCAATCCTCTATCAGGTGCTTTCGAATACAGGTAAATGAATTGCTTGTTCATATTATTGTTTTGTACACTTGTAGCAAGGCTTTGTTCATAATGTGTGGTCTGATTTGTTGTTATGCAGGCTCGAACCCGGCCGTGTTTCATTGAATACCGCTACTGATTGTACTGAATCATCCATCTCTAGCAACCCATCTGAAGAGAATCTTCTGTTGGACTTGAGGTTTTTGTACAATGCCATGCTTCATCCACATTCTATGGTGAACTATGGGCCCCAGCCAAGAAGGGCAGCAGCAGTGAGCTCGGCTGTGAAGCTCATAGACTGCAAGCAGTTTGTAAAAGATTATAAGCCCGAGAAGCTGTCGACTAAGTTGAATCCTTTCTCACTATGTCTCTTGTGCGAGGTCGAAGTTGTGGACGACTCAAAAGACAATTCCTCAAGGCCCCCTCCAGAGCTAGTTGTACTTCCATCTAATGCTACCATGTCTGACCTGAAGCTAGAAGCATCAAAAGCTTTCCAAGATGTATATTTGATGTTCAGAAGGTTTCAAGTAGAAGAGATAGTCGACCATGGGGGTGTAGATGATTCCACCCAGGTCAAGCTGTTGTTCGGACAAACCGAGTCGGTGCGTGTTAGAGGAAGATGCCAAGTGAAGATCGCGCTGAACAGGTTTCGAATGGAGAGGGGGGTAGAAAGGTGGACAGTTGAATGTAGTTGTGGAGCCAAGGATGACGACGGGGAGAGAATGCTAGCCTGCGACTTGTGTGGGGTTTGGCAACATACAAGATGCTCGGGGATTCGAGACTCCGACACGGTCCCAGGGAAATTTGTATGTTATAAATGCAGAAGCTCCATTGTTGCAATGAATAGCAATGGGGAAACGGAGGCGGATACAGTGTAGAGTAGAGGTTATGTTAGTTGGGAACTGTATTTTGTGTATATAGTTTTGGTTTCAGTTCTGTTTTTGTTGGGGCCTTGTGAATGTGTACAGCTGAAGTTAGGCCAAAATCTCTGATTACATTTGTTTCCTCGTTTTGTTATTCTTGTACATGTTCATAGGAAAAAGGATGATGAGTTGAAATGAAACTCGCTAACTTGTTTCTTAAGAAATGTTTGTGGGATCATCGTCGAATTGAGTCGAATCGAATTATGATTATGTCTTAGGATAGAATTTTCCTAGAATCGAATACGTTGAACGACGACGATAGATGAACAGTAGAGCTAGATGATGAGAATATGAGATTGAAAAATCTTAGAAACACGAGATAAGATTGTTTAAGCTAATAACAGAGATAGAAACATGGTATTTAGTTATGGGAACAGATAGATGATGATATTCATTATAAAAATTGAATAAGATTTTGGATGGGTATGGACATTAGGATTAGGTTGCTTGCTAAGTATTTTTATACTCACAATACTACATTTTTATTATCTTTTTAATGAACTTGACTTACAACAGCGGGATAACGATTATAGGGCACTTGTTCTAAGCCAATGAACAAATAATTCATGTAAAATTCGCACTTCGTGAACAATATCGATGTATGCTTGAGTTGCGGGTCATATTTGATAGAAATGTTTTAGAAAACGTAAGCGAGAAAATACGTTAAAAATGTTTTAAAGAAAGCAATGTTATAAGCTAAAAGCGAGTAGCCAACGACTTTGATAGCATATAACTCGAGTAGGAAGAATTGACAACTAGTCGCATCCTCTTATAGTACATTGTGGAGTTTTAGCCCCGACGAAATAGAATGTTAGGTAATGATGAACAAATTCACCACCTCCATCAATTCAGAAGTATTTTAAACCTTGTAGATACAAGATTTTAAACTAAGAGAATAAACATTGGAAAAACATCATAAACATACTATTTTCAAGAATGTCCCAAACATCCTTAAAAAAACACAATATCATTATTGTATTGTTAATTATACAGTACAAGAGTTCATAAGCTGCTCTGTCGCACAAGTACAAGCAAACCAAATCATATGGTATCTCCAACAGAGATAAACACGACAATTTTAAACACAACATCATGTTTTACATTTGAACGGGCACACAACACAAACATTTGCAGCCTATAAACAATAGAGATTTGGAGGTTTGTTGTAATGTTAGTGTGACTGGTGGGAGGGGGAAGAGGCTGTGAATTGGTAGGAGGCATAGGACATGGTGCCATGGTCCCAGCTATGATGGATTAGCTTGGTTTTCGGGTCGCCTCCTGCTGCCCCGATCGCAACATGGAGTGGGTAAAAGTGGTCGGGACTCGGATGTGCCATTTTTGCATGTGGAGCCTTCTTCTCGTACTCGTTCACATCGTCGTATCTATCCATAAAACATTTTTATTCTGATTCCCCGTTAAGAAAAAGAAACAAAACATTTTTTCTTCAAGAAAGTGAAATGAATGTCTCTTCAAAACTAAATTCAAAAGTCTCGTCAAAAGTTTCATATGAATCGGTTGAGGAGAAGAACTAATCATTCTTTATAAAGGCGTGGAAACCTCTTTGTGGCAGAGGCATTTTAAAAACTTTGAAGGGAAGCCCAAAAGGGAATACCTACAAAGAATAATATTTACTAACGGTGGGCTTGGGCCATTACACAAAGAAACTTAAAATCAAACTGAAAAGATGGTTAGACTAAACCATAAAAGCATCTAAAAAGTTAGGCACATAATCAAGGTACAAACACTCAAATTTATGAACATACCTTCCTTGAAGAAGAGCATCTTTAAGCCAAGTATCAAACTCAAGAGCCCATGGGGCAGTGGCTGAAGGCTTACCACTGCGGTTGAGAGTCCTAAGGTTGTGTGTGGCACTTCCTGACCCAATTATTAGAACTCCTTCATCCTTAAGAGGAGCCAATGCTTTGCCCAAGTTGTAATGATGTGTCCCATTTAGGTGTGATTGCACTGAAAGTTGGCAAACTGGTATGTCTGCCTCTGGATACATGAACATTAGAGGAACCCATGCTCCATGGTCCAGCCCCCGCCCTCGCTCCTCGTCGACCCGCTCGAACCCGGCCCTTATCAGAGCCTCCTTCACCCTCTTTGCCAGCTCTGGAGCTCCGGGTGCTGGATATTTAATCTGTTTTCAAGTCATTCTAAACATGTTATGGCATACATCTATGCTGAACCAAAGCCAAACAGGGGTGGTGACAGAGAAGGTGCTTGTTTAAACCTCATTTTCTACATTTGAATTGAATGGAATTCCCATTGTCCAACTCTACTAGATATTGTCCTCTTTAGACTTTTCCTCCTTTCAAGGTTTTTAAAACGTGTGTGTGCTAGGAAGAGGTTTCCACACCTTTATAAAGAATGTTTTTGTTCCCTTTTCAAGGTTGTTAAAAGGTATGTGTTAAGGAGAGATTTCCACACCTTTCTAAAGAATGTTTTTGTTCCCCCTTTCAAGGTTTTTAAAACATGTGTGCTAGGGAGAGGTTTCCACACCTTTACAAAGAATGCTTTTGTTCCCCTCGCCAACCGACGTGGGATCTCACAATTCACCCCCTTCGAGGCCCAGCGTCTTCGCTGGCACTCGTTCTCTTCTCCAGTCGATGTGGGACCCCTCAATCCACCCTCTTCGGGCCCAGAGTTCTTGCCGGCATATCGCCTCATGTCCACCCCCCTTCGGGGTTCAGCCTCGCTGGCACCTGGTGTCTAGCTCTAATACCATTTGTAACGGTCCAAACCTACCGCTAGCAAATATTGTTCTCTTTAAACTTTCCCTTTCAGGTTTCTCCTCAAAATTTTTAAAACGCTTCTGCTAGGGAGAGGTTTCCACACCCTTACAAAGAATGTTTTGTTCCCCTCCCCAACCGACGTGGGATCTCACAATCCACCCCCTTCAGAGCCGAGCATCCTCACTAGCCTCGTTCCTCTCTCCAATCGAGGTGGAATCACAGCAATTACATCATTAATTATATATTTTTGAAAGGTGAAGTTCAAAGGTTAAAACATAAACAAACTATGTTAACCAGGAATGAGAAGCAACTTGATAAATGGAACCATTTCCATATCCTAAATACAAAATTCAGAGCACAAAATCCCATTCAGGATTCTCCAACACCTCATGTTATTGAATTCAAAAATGGAAAAGAAAGGATGCTAAATCCAAACAATCATTGATAATTCCAGAAAAACAAGGGCCACCGAGAAACATCATAAAAGAAATGACCCTAAAGCCAGAAATGAAAAGAGTACATTCCATTACCTTGTACATGGAGGAGGGGAAGCCATAGAAGTCGTAGATGGTATCATTAGGACCTGAGACGACATTGACAGTGGGGAAAGTGGTGTCGTAATGGGCAGAAATGCAGAGAATGGCTTTGGGTTTTACCGCAACGACCTCGTTCTTCCAAGATTTGAAGAACTGCCTCGCTTTTATGCTATCGTCGATGCTGAGCATCGGAGAGCCATGGGAGAGGTAAAAAGTGTCGTTCAAAGCCATCGAATAATGCGCGATCGGATTCTATTGACTCTGAATTTGATCGAAATTTTAGGGTCAACTACACCAAAATGATGGCTATGTTTGAGGCGGAGGTCGGGGGTAGGTGGGGGAGGTTCTCGACGTTAGGTACAACAAGCACATATTTACGTGTATATTCAAATCAGAGCTCTTTCAAAAAAAATGGTTAAAACATTACACTTTTAATAATTATTTGCAAAAACAGAACTATTTTTAATACACGGTTTCAATGTTGTATGTCATATGTCACGGACCATGCTTTTCTAAAACGTGTTGTTCGTGGGCATGGCCGTGGCCGCATGCCCAGATGAGTTGTGACTAATGGTGGAATCATATCTCATATCTTGATTACACCTCACAATTGTTTGTTCGACGTTTGAGGATTTTGTCAACATGGTTAAGTTTGTTAGGAATTGGGATTCTTCAGATATTGTCCACTTTGAGCATAAGTGCTCATGACTTTGTTTTGGGCTTCTCCAAAAGGCCACATACCATAGAGATAATATTCTTCTCTTAAAACCCAGGATCTTCCACTCAATTAACCAAGGTGAGACTCACTCTCAATAATCCTCTAACACTTCTTATACAAATTATATAATATTTAAGTTGTGATGTTTCTTTCTTTGTTTATAGTCATATAGGACTTTCAAACTTTTTTTCCATCATGCTTTCAAACTCTCTTTCAAAAATTTCTATTCTCTTGTTTTCTAAAACCTTCTTTTCAAAATGAGATTAGAGGTTTGAACATACGTTGCTCGGCCGTAGCGATGCAAATTCAAATTAGCTTGACTCACTTAGCGTTGGAAGTGAAAATGAGTGCTACACAATTGCGAGCGGTAAAAAAAAATGTTGTGCTTGAGTTTCCCTATGAACTTTCATCCACTTGGAGACTTAGTCAATAATGAATGATTGTGGCATTCAACTCATGTTCTATCATCTATTTGCTAAACTGCTATGCATTCTTGGGGAGGATGAAAAATGGAGGTGTAGAAGGGTTGCCAAAGTTCAAATTTACTCTAAAAATAATGCACATGACATATGAACGATTAGCTCGAACCACTTGTACCAGAGTTTTCCTTTTGATGTAGGTAAGGAGAGCACGATGACTAGTGATTTTCCATCATGAAGCTTCAACTCTCATGAGAATTTAACAAATGGGATGTGTCACAATCGCATATTATTAGGACTCTTGCCCTCGAGTAAATCAACCGACCAAACTTGGATCGTTGTTGGCATGGACGAGGTAGCCCTACCCTTAGAAAATTATTTTAGAAAATTGGTAGTAATAACAAATATATACTCTTCAAATTATATAGAAATGAATCACGACTTTCTACAATGGTACAATATTGTCCAGTTTGAATATAGATTATCATGATTTTGCTTTGAATTTTTCAAGAAAGTCTCGTCTCAATGGAGATGTATTCCTTTACCATGAAAACAATAAAATTTTGAAATCTTAAAATTAGTAATTAAAGATGTATTTTTTTTCCGAAAAAAAATAACAAATAAATAAATAGAAGACCTGCATTCATATTCGAAGTGGATCCGTGCTTGTGTATTCGAAACCATTCGAATCGGATTTCCTCAGAATTAGGGCTTCAGGGTCGAATCGCGAGTCTGGTTGCATTCTCTTCAAGGTCAGTGTAGCCGCTTCTTGATTGAAAGTTGCAGATTCTTCTTAATTTGGCACCATTGATTTAGCATTTTTCTATTCCATACTTCCTGTGATGATTTTCTCTTGGCTTTGTATATTTTTGGATACAAATTTGCCAATTTTTCTTCAAGTACTTACATTTGTGCTGTCTGTTTACTCCGTTCTTAGAATCAGGGCTTCCTTTCTTTCTTTTTTTTTTAGTGCCAATAAAGTTCTTGAATAAATCTTCACTCAACCGTCGTATTTCCAGAGACCAAATCAAATCGATTATTCGAATCAAGGAGGTTCGGTTTGGCTAATTTCACTGGCCATTTCAAATTAAACCAAACTAATTCAAGATGGTCCTGTTACCGGTCATATGTTATCATATTGTTCAGTCGGCCAATATAATTACGAATGAAATTCATTTTTGGTGACTATATATTTATTTATTGTATTGATCCATTTTTAACTGCGTAGGTGTTTCTTCTCAAATCTCATTACAGCTCTACTGTATCTGCCGCCACCATTGCCATAAAGTTCTCAAATCTATTATGTTATTAGTCAATATTTTCTGGGCAGAGCACACAGTGAAATCGTGGACTTTTTGAGTGACAAGAAGAGGCCCTTGAATACTTTTTAAGTTGGAAATGAATTCAGAAGCCTTGCAGGTAGCTAAGGTTTACCGCCAGCTTCTCAAAGCTGTAAAGAAACATATTGGAAAGGAAGAGAACAAGAAGCATTTTGTGGACTATGTGGCTCAGAAGTTCAGGGAAAAAAGTACACTTTCGAAACCCCATTCTGTTCAACAGAAAATCAAGCTTGCTCGCGATTACACATTTCTACTTAACAGCGTGCACCATCAAAAGGCAATACTTCACTTCCACTATTTAAAACTTTGTTCTTGTTCGAATAAAGAATTAGGCCTTGATAACCATTGTTGTATTTTTCATAGTTTCTTTAGAATGAATTTCGTCTTATATAACTTATAAGGGAACCTTCAGATTCTTAGTCGAATTTCAATAACAATTTTTTTTCTTGGCTTGAATTTCAAAAACATTCAACCCTTTGGCTATAGGTGGAAGTAGTGTTGACTAGTGGGGCCTCAGTAATCTTTTGTTTGGTTATGTGATTCATTCACTATAATTTTCTTTTACAATGTAGATTAATTTGTAGTCCATTGAGGATTTGACAAATGAGGACTTGTTAATGGCCTTAAGTCATAATTTTCATTAATCTAAGTACGACGTATAATATAGATACTGTTTCATTAGGTGGTTTATCAATCAATTTGTAGATCTTCAATGCAAGATTTGATGGGGAAATTAGGTGCTTCTTACGTTCTACTATCTGCAATTTCGGAGTAATGAGATATTCAAATTCTAGCAGAAGACACATTATAGCTCAGAATCAAGAATAAATGAACTTCTGCTTCGTTTCCTCATTTGATGTTTGTTAATCATTGTAATTTTTATTGGTTATGTATGTTCAGGACTTGCTGTTCTCGTACAACATTGCTATTGATAGATCAGATGAAATGAAGCGGATATTGGGCAAGTCTGCAGCAAGTGTGGGGCTTAAACTTCCGGAGGTTTATCAACCTTGACGCCCTGTGGTTGTTTTATTAAGCAGAATTACTTTGTTCCTCCTAAGAAAAGAAGAATAATGACTTCGATGAGCTGCCCCTGTACCAGCAAACTTTAATATTGTTGATCTTCTACCATCTGATACTTGAGTTTTATGTGCATTGGAAGAAGCAAAGGGCAGCTACGAAGATTTTATCTTTCCTCTTATTAGAACTTCTGAGGGTGAGTTTGACAGCAATCTGGTGAGTTATTTGTTTCATTTCCATATAATATGTACTTCAATAACGTGAAAAAGAGCCGTTGAATTTTGATCAAGAAGCACTTTGACTTGGTTGGATCTTAGTTGTAGGTGTTTTGGTCGCAATATAATCAACCAACCGTTTGAAGTTATGTGTTTAGTCATTTTCACTTTGACCAACTTCTTGATCAATTATTTTGCTCATCATCCAAGCCCCCCATATAGAATTTCTGAGTAATTGGAAGTCAGCTTTAGATGATGAGGCCATAGGAACGGGTGCATCAGGACATCGTAAGATATTTTGTCTTAATGAATTAGTTGGTACTAGAAATGCTGGAACAGTCGATGACTGCTTAGTCTCATTCGAGAGTCTAATCTCTTTGTATCATATTTTCAAAGGAAAAAAAAAAAAAGAAGGGGATGGATTTGGGCTCCTTCCCTTCCATTGTATAATTGCGCGGGAAGGTACCACATGCCTTTTGTCTCATGCATCTAACCTGCCTGTTTTAGTCATTTATGAAGCATTACAATTGAAAAATAGGTATTGCCTTTGGTTTCATACTCTATCTACAAATACGAGAATAACCCATTTTGGGTCCAAGTAACATATTATTGAAGGAGATGGAAGACCTCCAATGTCACCTGTCAAATGTTTTCATTTCTATTAATTGATTTAGACATTTCTGTATAGATAACAAATCTATTTATAACTGTTCTCTTACAGCAGAAATTTAGTGGTGGTTCAATAATTGCGGGATAGAATTGAATTACTTCCCCACCTATACCAGAAGTAAAAAGCGATCTCACGTTTGTGGAAGGATTACTATTTGAGGACTAATTTCCCACGCATTCAACGGCATGTGCTTGTGCCTCACATTGAGCTCTATAAATCCCTTCCCCACTGCACTCCATGCCTTTACCTTACTAGCTTATTTCTGATGGCTTTCAACGACACTTTCTATGTATCCCATGGATCCCCAACGCTAACCATCGACGATGGCATCAAGGCAAGGCACTTCTTCAAATCATGGAAGGACAAGGTTTTTTCCCAAACACCCAAAGCCATTCTTTGTGTCTCTGCCCATTTCGACACCGCCTATCCCACCGTCAACGTCGTTTCTGGTCCCAATGATACCATCTATGACTTCTATGGTTTCCCCTCCTCCATGTACGAGGTAAACATAAAAACCTTTAAACTTCAAACTAGACCTGCTAGCAAGTGTATGTTAGGAACCACGACTCTTCACAATGGTATGATATTGTCCACTTTGAGCATAAGCTCTCATGACTTTGTTTTTTGTTTCCCCAAAAAACCTCGTACTCATGGAGATGTATTTCTTACCTATAAACTCATGATATGATCAACTTCTTAATTAGCCGATGTGGGACACCTCTCCCAACAATCTCAACAGTTTAGGCATTTATATAATTTCAAGTTTTGAACTCTTTGAAAGAAACTTTCCAATATTGATAACAAGAATGCATAAATGACATGAAAAACAGTTAAAATATCCAGCACCAGGAGCTCCGGCGTTGGCGAAGAGGGTGAAGGAAGCTCTGATGGGGGCCGGGTTCGAGCGGGTGGACGAGGAGAAAGGGCGAGGGCTGGATCATGGAGCATGGGTTCCTCTGATGTTCATGTATCCAGAGGCAGACATCCCAGTTTGCCAACTTTCAGTACAATCACGCCTAAATGGGACACACCATTACAACGTGGGCAAGGCATTGGCCCCTCTTAAGGATGAAGGGGTTCTCATTGTTGGGTCAGGAAGTGCTACGCACAACCTTAGGACACTCGACCGCCACGCCAGGTCTTCTGTCAACGCCTCATGGGCCATTGAATTTGACGATTGGCTTAAACATGCTCTCCTTCAAGGAAGGTAATTTCACTTGCATGAAAATAATCTAATAGAAAGATATTATAAAAGATATTTGCCTATAATTGTGATATCTCACGTTAGTTGGGAGGAGAACGAAATACCCTAGCGTACAAAGGGTATTTCGTTAGTTGCATTTTTAAGCCTTGAGGAGAAACTTGAAAGGAAAAGTTTAAAGAGGACAATATGTGTTAGCGGTGGGGTTGGGCTCGGGTCGTTACAATAATAAAAGATCAATATGATATATATAGTAAACTATAATTCAATACTAAATATCCTTAACACCTTCAACCCGTCTTCTTTGCTTGTTTAGTTTAAATAAATATTTTTTGTTTGAGAATTAGAAGAATATTTGGTGTGGTAGATACGAAGATGTGAACGAGTACAAAAAGAAGGCTCCAAATGCAGAAAAGGCACATCCAAGTCCTGACCACCTATTTCCGCTCCATGTCGCGATCGGGGCAGCCGGAGGCCACCCCAAAGCGAAGCTAGTCCACCATAGCTGGGACCTTGGCACCATGTCCTACGCCTCCTACCAGTTCACAGCCTCTTAAACCCTAAACCCACTAATCGCATCAACATTACAAACCTCCAACCCTTCTAGTTGCCTTGTATCTTTCTTAATATAATGGAGTATGTTTGTAAAATGATCCTATTTATTTCTGTGACAAACCATATAATTTGGTTTTGGTTTATTACAACGTTGTATGAACTTTTATTGTTAAAGTGATTTGAAATAGCACTACCATACTACGAGATCCCACTTTGGTTGGAGAGAGAAACAAAATATTCTTTACAAAGATGTAGAAACCTCTCCCTAGTAGACACGTCTCAAAATCGTGAGGCTGATGACAATACATAACGGACTAAAACGGACAATATCTACTAGCGGTGGGTTTGGGTTGTTACAAATGGTATAAGAGCCCGACAGATGGTGCGCTAGCGAGGACGCTGTCCCTAAGGGAGTGGATTATGAAATCCCACATCATTGGAAAGGGGAATAAAACATTCCTTACAAGGTATGGAAACTTCTCTCTAGTAGACGCGTTAAACCCGTGAGGTTGACAGCGATACGTAATGAGCCAAAACGAACAATATCTACCAGCGGTGGCTTTGGGCTGTTACAAATGATATTAGAATCAGACATTGAACGGTGTGCCAGCGAGGACGCTGACCCTAAGAGGGTAGATTGTGAGATCCCACGTCGGTTGGAAAGGGGTACAAGACATTCTTTATAAGAGTGTGGAAACTTCTCTTTAACAGACGCGTTTTAAAATCGTGAGACTGATGACGGTACGTAATAGACTAAAGCGGACAATATCTTTTAGTAGTGAACTTGAGCTGTTACAAACACGGTTCTAAAAGAGAGAGAACTTTAGTGAACAAGAGTTAATTACAAATAACTATAATATGATCGTTATCACACACTTGCACGCACACAAAACACCGACATCCACACGGGAGTGTTGCATTACTTATTATTAACAACTAATACATCTAAATCAATTAACCCTACGGCAGTTGCGGCGGACTTGGCCCCAACGACCTTCCTTTACATCAAGCATACCCATTTTGATGATGGCCTGTTGGAAGTCCAAGAAGAACAGGGCTTGGTTCATGGCGTAGGCATTGACAATGCCCCTCGTACGCGGGCTAGCGAACAACGTCTGGTCCGAAAACAAAACCCCGGCTCCTCTCGACAGCGCGTTGTAATAGACGTTGTCGAAGCTGTCAGCCGTGGCGTCGAATGTTTGTATTGCATTGTCGCCATTGCTGCATGTTCTTGACAGTGTTCTCCCAAAGTTGGGACTCAGAAGAGTGTCGGTGCCGTCCAGTCTGTCTTTGAATGATACGCATCGTGCCACTCCTAATGTATGCGCCCCTAAACACACATGTCAATTATGATGAGTTATATAATTAACGGTTTATGTTGGGTGTTAGAAATGGTCTAAAGTTTACCCGAAAGTGCGACCATTTGCTGAGCTGTAAAGCCACGGCGGGCGAAGGTATTAATAAGCTGAGATGCATTGAAGAAAGGCGAAGGCAAATTGGCGGTGTCTTCGATTCTAGATCTCGTTCCGTCCTTCCTTCCCTTCGGTATGTCATAAAATGGACCTCCCGCCTGTTAAGTTACTCGTTATTAAGCTCGAATAAAAGTGTAATATTTTGAAATTTAAGAATGAAATAGAAAATTATATCCAAAACCCATTCACCAAACTATATTTTTCATTAGATAAATTAGAATCGAGGGAATTTTTTTAAAAAATTACCCAAAAGACTGCATCTCTGGCAGCCATGGCGACAATGTCGGCGCAAGAAACAACACCAGGACATTGGTTTTCTAATTGTTCCTTAATGTCATCAATAACCTCGTAACCTCGTAAGCTTTCATTGGCGGGAGAATCCTTTTCTGCTCTGTTGTCTCGTGTTGAATCAATCAACACTGATCCATCGCATCCCTATTCATATCGAAAGACATCAATATTTTCGATTATTGTATCAATATGTGTAGTTTGTTACGTTTTTCAAAAAAAAAAAAAAACACGAGATGGAGGAAAAATGGTATGTTTAAAGTCTAATTTACCTCAACGAAACAATCATGAAAATGCATTCGTATGAGAGATGCAGCCAAAGTGGGATCATTTTGAAGAGCTCGATTCACCGTGTTCTTCACAATCGGATCCACAAACGGGCAGCTCATCAAGTAATATCCCATACTCAATCCATTCACGCCTCTAAATGTTACACTAACGCTCACCAACACGATAATACTAACTAAGTTCATCGACATCGACATTGACATCAACAACGACATTTCTCGAGTAGCTAGGTTGAAAGAGAATAAAAGATGGTTAAAGAAGAGTTGTGGTGGGAGTTTGTGTATTTATACATGGAGAGTGTAGTTTGAAGTGAAGGAGAAGGAGGAGAGTGGGTTCATCACATTGTCCACTCAAACAAGCCATGATATTAAATAATTAATGATTTCTATGCAGCTTTTTGATGTGTTCATTGCATGTTTGGATTATTAAACCTAACACCAACAATTCAATCAAATCTGGATTCCAATTCACATAAATAATTGAAATCTATTAAATTGTGTGTTTGAAATCAATATCCACGCACATACACATGATCGTAACATAAATTATTCACTAGGAAGCTCGTTACCTAACGACTCAAGTCCATCGCTGGTAGATATTGTTCCATCCGAGCTTTCCTTTTTAGACTTTCCCTCAAGGTTGTTAAAACGTATCTGTTAAGGAGAGGTTTTCATACCTTTATAAAAGATGTTTTGTTTCCCTCTCCAATCGATGTGGGATCTCATAATCCACTCTTCTTCGAAGCCCAGCGTTCTCGCTGGACACTCGTTTCTCGTTCTAATTGATGTGGGATTTAACAATCCACCCCCTTCGGGGCTCAACATCTTTGCTGACACTCGTTTCTCTCTCCAATCGATGTGGGACCTCACAATCCACTCCCCTTGAGGGTCCAGCGTCTGAGACTCATTCCTCTCTCCAATCGATGTGGGATCTAACAATCCACCCCCTTCGGAGCTCAGCATCTTTGCTGACACTTGTTCCTTTCTTCCGTCGATGTGGGATCTCGCAATCTACTCTTCTTCAGGGTCCAGCGTCCTTGCTGATACTTGTTCCTCTCTCCAATCGATGTGTGATCTCACAATCCACTCAAATTCAGGGTCCAGCGTCCTTGCTGACACTCATTCCTCTCTCCAATCGAGGTGGGATCTAACAATCCACCTCTTTCAGGGCTCAGCATCTTTGCTGACACTCGTTCCCCTCTCAATGGATGTGGGATCTCACAATCCACTCCCCTTTAGAGTCCAGCGTGCTCGATGACACTGGTTCCTCTCTCCAATCGATGTGAGATCTCATAATCTATCCCCTTCGAGGCCCAACGTCCTATGAATCTATGAAAATATCAATGATATCGAGAAAAAACTGGGTCAATCATATTTAGATGTAATTCTGGCCTCGATCTCTAAGTATAAGAGAGTAGTTAGGATAGTAAGGTGGGGATTTAAGATAATGGAAGGTGGGAGAGGTGAAAAAAGTGCATATAATGGTTGGAGAAAGAGCTGTGTCGCATTTGAAAAAGAAAAGAAAAGGAAATGAAGGATTAGTCAAAAAGGGAGAGTGGGACGGCTGGCTTCCATATTCTTCCTTATATTATTTTTATAACCATTTGTGTTCCTCAATTTCAACGCTCTAGTGCTTTTCACACGTCTTTCTCCCCTTAGTGCCTCGGCAGTTCAATTACTTTTTCGATATTGGATGGTTCCGATATTCTCTTACATCTTCTACGATACGAGTGAAACTTCAAAATTAAGCGTGTTTCGTTTGAACTATGTTCAAATACAAAAAACTGATTGAATTGGAGCAAACCAAACCAACGAAGTTGACCTAACTTGGTCGTTGAACTACAGCTTCAACCCACTAATGAGACTGTTTTTCGTGTAAGGGAGAAAGAAGCAGGGCTGAAGCACCTGTTGAGGATTATTGGGAGTGAGTCTCACATTGGTTAATTTAGTGGAAGATCATGAGTTTATAAGTTAGAAATACTATCTCTATTGGTACGAGGCCTTTTGGGGGAAGCCCAAAGCAAAGTCATGAGAGTTTATGCTCAAAGTGGACAATATCATACGATTGCGGAGAGTCGTGATTCCTAACATGATATCAAAGCCACGCCCTAAACTTAGTCATGAAATAGAATCCTCAAATATTGAATAAAGAATTGTGAGCCTTGAAGGTGTAGTCAAAAGTGACTAAAGTGTTGAACAAAGGGTGTACTTTATTCGAGAGCTCCAAGGAAAGGAGTCGAGCCTCGATTAAGGGGAGGCTTATAGTGTACTTTGTTCGAGGGGAGGATTGTTGAGGATTATTGGGAGTGAGTCCCACATTGGTTAATTTAGTGGAAGATCATAGATTTATAAGTTAGGAATACTATCTCCATTGGTACGAGGCCTTTTGGGGGAAGCCAAAGCAAGTCATGAGAGCTTATGCTCAAAGTGGACAATATCACCTAACATCACCTCGTTATCACACAAACGAGTGGGAGAAAGGAACCCCAAGAAACCCACAATCGATCGATCGCCCAAACACATGTTGAACAATCAAGATTCCATATTGTTAAGAAGTGAATTTCATATTATATGATTATAATTGTATTCTAAAATGGTAAACTAATTGAATCGACGACAAACTATAAAACCAATCTCATCGATGAAAACCCAATGACATGCCCTCACATGCAAAAGTTCACAACCTATTTAAGATTAAGATGAGTCGCATAGGATTATCATTTAAATAATATTTATCTTTTTAGTCAACATATTAATAAATCAATCTTATACAAATTCGTTGTATATGATATTGCTACTCATATGTCTTCCCATGAACCATTTAGATATGTCTTCTCATGAACCATTTAGATTAAATCATGTGTAATTATTTATAAAATCAACAAATTACCATTAAAAAAAATATTAATTATCAAGTTTTGGACATAAATCATAATTGTAATTATTTATTCTTGTAATTAATGCTAGAAATTGAATCTCCAAAATACCCTCAGGGTGGGCGAAGATCGTAAACAAGGTTATATATCCGAATCGGGCAGCGGTCGAGGAGGCGCTTCGGTGGTTCTCATGGCCTGCCACCATCTTCACACTGCGACTGCTAGTGCGTCGCACATTTGCAGAAATTTTCTGGGATACATTTTCACCTCCAAATTTGCTTCTCCTCTTCGTTTCTCTTCTTCTTCTTCTTCTTTGAGGATACAGTCTCCTGGTCACCATTGTTTTCCCTCTTTCTCCGTTCTGCTACCCCCGAAGGTAACTCAGTTTCTGCTTATTGGTACTTATTGTTCTGAATTGATTCTAGCATATTTACCGAGAAATTTAGTTGAAAAAAGTAGGAGGCTCATTAATGACGGAGTGTTATTGTGTCGATGTGAAATGGGCGAGATATATTATGGTAGCAAGGTGTAATTCGATTAATCAAAGAGCAGAATGTGGTTGATGGCTCTTATTGCAATAGTTTTTCTTGTCATCTCGACATGAGAAATGGGTACTATTTAGATCTTAGTTGTGATCATGGCGTCTAATTTTAGCGTTTGGTTAAATTCAAAGCAATATACAACTTTTTGCCTCTGTTTTCTGCTGCAGTTTTGACTTCTTCTAAGGATTTTTCTCGGTTTCTCAGGGTTACTGTAGTTCATCTAGAAGTGTAAATGCTGCGATTAACGTAGATAGCAATGCAACTTATCATGGTAGTCCGGCATCTTCTATTAGCCAGCAAATGCTGCAAGTCCAAGATTCATTATCGAATTCACCCACATGCAAAGAAGAAACTGAAATTGATAGACCTTCGGATGCGAGGGTCATGCTCATTGATGGCACATCAATCATTTATAGAGCATACCACAAGCTTTTGGGTATGTTAGATTTGTCATCAGAATGTTTTAGTTTGACTTAGTTTGTTATCCTAACTTATATTTTCAATCCGTATTTCCACTGGAGATGGTTTATGTGCATAGAGGATAATTGATAGCAGAAAAGTGGCACACATAAACCCGTTGGTAAAGAAGTAGACTTTAAATTCTTAACATTTTTATTCTTTAATAAGAAACGCGGACAAACTTCATTAATAGAGAAAAAGATATACAAAAATGGAGACGAGATATCCCCAAATGCCAAGGGGATTACAAAAAGGATTTCCAATTAGCATTAATTTATATCAAATTAGAACTACAAACATGAGGGAGCAAAGAACGCCATTTTGGTGAAAACAATCTAACTTGCTCCCTACATTCATCACGAGAGGATTCACTGTCTTGAAAAGTCCTCTTGTTCCTTTCATACTAAAGTCTCCGTAAAACCACTACCACTGAATTGAACCACAACGCTCTAGCTTTTCCCCCAAAAAGAAGTCTCATAAATGAGCTGAAAAAAAGCCCCCGAACACCCCTTGGGGAGCACCCAACTTCAGTTAAAACTTAAAAAAGACTACACCAACCAAAAGCAATATACGTTTTTGCTATATTTACTTCTTTGATTTATTTGTTTGTTTGGATTTCTGTTTTGGAGCAGCAAAGCTGCATCATGGCCATTTATCACATGCGGATGGCAATGGAGATTGGGTGCTAACAATATTTACTGCCATGTCACTTGTAAGTAACATTCTTGTTAGGTTCTTGTTTTCAAATGTTATTTTACCTGTCCTTTTTCCAACAATGATATACATTCTACTGATAGTGCCTCAAACCCTAATGCTATTCTAAATGTTCTCCTCATCTTTGTTGTTTTTTTGCCATGAAGTAATTTCTGTTAAAATATTACAATAAAATATTGGAATATCAATTTTCAGCTTGTTGGGTATTGGCATAATGCATATGCCGTGTTTGACTAGCCATGGGAACAAAAGAGAAACATATGAGGGATCATCAACATGTAGGAGCTCGGGCCTATCCAAATCATCCTCAATAATTATATCATAGGGTGCCTCTATGGTATGAAAGGGTGGTGGGTCGAGCTCGGGTTTAAAAGTTTTGGGGTAGTGTCCGTGATAACTAGTGAGAAAGACGCTGTATTAGAGGGAAGAGGGGGAGGCTATTCAAAGAAGGTGGATACGTATGGTAGTGAGTCAATTGGAGAAAGGTGATGTCGTGGGGAGCCTTCATCAAATGAGTGCAAGGGGATGATAATATGTTTTCTTAGTCTAAAAGAGGTTTATCGGTGGCTGTCGAGAACTGATAAAGATGATGAAGGAAAAAGAAGTGATGAGGTGGGTTACAATTCCCTTCCTAGGCCCGTTTGACATTGTCTTTCGGTTTCCAGTTCATTTCCTCTAACCTTA